AAAGGCCATAAGCAGCACAAACTTTTGGCGCTCCACGCGGATTTTTTGGATCTGCGCTGGGCCCCCCCTGGCGGCGCCTCTGGCGCCGCCCCTGGCGCGCTCCGCGCGCCAGGAAGGGAGGTCCGGCGCAGATCCGCGAAATCCGCGCGGAGCGCCAAAAGGTTATGTTTATGCTGTTGTTCCTCCTCTAATAGTAGGGATGGGCAACCGTCCGAAGGGTACCCCCGTGCACCCTTGCTTCTTCGGCCCATTCTTGGCCGTTTTCGCTGACCAGCCTCGTTCGAAAAAACGCCAACGTGGCCCTCCAAGGCCCCTGCATCCTTACCGCGCATACTTCTTATACGGGCCGCCTCCACTCGCACAGTGCCTTCTCGCAAACGTCAAAACGGCATGCTTGCCTCGGTGTCCAGGATCGTAGATCCCCCGCGGCGGATCCGGGTCGTTTGCGAGCAGTGGAGCGCGCTTGTCTGGTTCTGGCCTACCACGCTTGGGCGCGGCGCGCTGTGAGCTCGTCGCAGCCACCCCAGGCATCTCGGAGACCGAGAGATTGGAATAACACCAGTATCGGCGGCGTGTACCCAACGAGGAGGAATGGGCCCGATCCCGGTGATGGTGATCATGCTCGGGCTTCCTAGGTTGCCGAGAGACTTCCAACAACACCAGAATATAGGATGATCTTCCCTCGGCAGAGGCAGCCCCCTGTCTTGGTGCTGGTGCCCCTTTTTTCCAAGCCGCCTAGCATCTGCGTTCCGAGCTTTCCTCTGACCCACGGGGCAGAGCAACACGCCGCGCCGCTCTCGCGCGGCGGCAGGCAGGAAAAGCGGCAAGAGAGTGCCCCTTCTCCTGCTTTTGCTATGGAGTCTCCCGCCTGCTGAGTAGTACCCATCAGGGTGGCGCCGAGACGAAGAAACATTTGCATCACCTTCTTAGCTGCCGTCGAACAAAAGAGCTGCCGTCGGCGGTCCACGCGCGCGGGTTTCTTGGACCGGCGCCGGCCCCCTGGCGGCGCCTCCATTCGCCACGGAGAGGGGCCCAGCGTTGATCCGAGGAATCCGCGCGGGACCCCGCAAGCGTGCTTATGCCGACGCGTCTTCCTCATATCCTCGGGCCTCGTGCACCGCTGCCACAGTGTCCAGAGGACTGCTCTTCCAGTGCGGGCACTTCTCCTCCATCTTTCGGCAAGAGCTCAGCTTAGTCCTACGGACGGCGGTCGCTGGGCAATTGCTACCTGCCCACAAGCCCCCGGTCGTCGGAGGCGGGCGCTGAGCCTCGATAGCCTTCAGGAGGGGGCTGTCTTCGGGCCCTGGGGCCATCAGACATGGATCTGGGATGATCCGTCAGGCGATCGCAAACATGGATCTAGGGGGCGTGGATTAGCGACGGGTCCCGTTTCCATTTTGGAAAATCGCGGATTCCCGCCGCCGAGCGAGGCGGCACCGGCGGCATTTTAGGGGAGGGCACCTCCCCCGATCCATGGATGGGGGCGACCGCGCGCCGAATCCATGGATCGCCAATCCATGTTTGCGCGCGCCTTCGAGTCTGGGATGACAGCTTGCACCGGGAGAGTTGAGAGTCAGGGACACTTGATCCGCGGAGTGGAAAAAAACACTGGTCGGAGGTCTGGGTCCTCCTCGACCCTCCCCCCGCTCGATCCTCGCCCGTCGAGCCTCGCTCCTCCTCGCTTCTTCGACTGGGCACAGGGTTGAAGTCGTCGATATCTTGGCACACCGACATATCCCTTAGGCGATGCTTAAGGAAATTTAGGTTTTCGGCCAGAGTCTCGATTATTCTTAACATTTCAATGTAAGTCTTAAGAGTTTAAAAGAAATGTTGGGTTTTTTATTCAAGTTCTGAGACTATGAATTTCTTAACCCATGATTTCTTAAGCATTTCGCAGGGTGTAGCGGCTGCGAGCCAAACTGGCTGGACAAACGCGCATCGATCTCGGCGTACTTCAAGGTAGAAGGCCGCCGCCAGGCGTGTGCAGTGGTATGGCGACGGACATTCGCCTTGAACGTATCTTCCCAGCCGTACTCGCTTGTGGCGTTCACGTGTTCTCTCGCTTCTGAACTACTCGTTTGTGTGACCTGCTACGCGCTCCTGTCCACCAGGTTAGGGAACGTTGCCCGCGCGTGGTGGACGACAGGCATGAATACAGTCGGAAAGCCGCCTTACAGCTTTGGAAGGCAAACGCCCCTCATTCAGTACGGTCCCGCTTATGATTAAGAAGCCTCCCCCCGAAAAATTGGCCCGGCGTTTCTTAACCAATTTGCCCGAAGGTTGGCTCAGCTTCTTAAGGGGATTGGTAGCCTTGTATCCTAGAAATGGATACTGTACGTTCCTGGCTCCAAAAGCTGGCCCAGCGTTTCCTTAAGAAACTTCTGAAAAGCTGGCCAGGCTGTCTTAATTGATAGTTTTCTTAATCATATTTCTGACTGTATAGGCTCGGTGACGGTGGACACCGAGAAATCACTTGTGCAGTCATATTCGGGTGCCCTGATTTTCTCACGCATATCAGTCGCCGCTCGCCTGCTCAGTCAGCGTTACGGGCGGGAGCCTGGAGCCTCGGGGCCGAACAAAGATCTTGCGCACCTGGCTTGCCTCTTTCCCTTCTCCTCCCCCCCTCCATTATCCTCCGCCTTTTCCGCCCACCCCCCCTTGGCGAGGAGAGGAGTGGAACTCCAAGGGGCAGGAGCGGGAGGAAAGAGGGAAAGGAAAGAGAAGGAACCGGAAAAGGGGAAGGAGGAGGAGGAGGAGGAGCATGAGGAGGGGGGAGGGGGAAGCAGGGCTAGAAGGAGGAAGGGGCAGGGAGGAGTAGGAGGAGGAGAAGGAGGAGGAGGAAGAGGAGGAGGAGGACGAGGAGGAGGAGAAGGAGGACAGGGAGGAAAGGGAGACCGGGGAGGAGGAAGACGGTGTCGGAAGGAGGAGGCGGACAGGATGAGAAATCCAGGAGCGACGACGATGGCGGCCAGCGGCGACGCCAGCGACGGCGGCGAGCGGCGGCGGCGGGGGCAGGGCCTTGGGCCGCCTCGGGCCGGCGGCGGCGGCGGCGACAGGGCCTGGGCCCCCTCTGGCCGACAGCCACCCATCGCCTGCCACTGCTCTCAAGAAGTGCCTACGCGCAAACGTCCGAACAATAAACGATTGCCTCGATGTAGTGCCTCGCAGAGCTCCCGCAGCTGGTCCTTGGCCAGTTGCGAGCAGTTACTTGCTGCGAGTGCAGTCAACCCGCATGGCAAGGATGGGCCACCTTCCCAAGGGTACCCTTGCATCCGTTCATCCTCGGCCCATCATTGGCCACTCTCGTGGGCCCCGTCCCGCCCGAGAAGCTTCGACATGAGCGCCCAAGGCCCTTGCATCCTTATCGCGCACCCTTGCGATACGGGCCGACTGTACTCGCAAAGTGTCTGCTCGCAAACGTCCGGAATAGCACCGACCGCTTCGATGTAGTGTTTCACAGAGCTCCCGCGGCAGATCCCTGGCCAGTTGCGAGCAGTTACTTGCTGCGAGTAGTGTTAAGTCGGGCATGTCCCTCTACAGGAGGAGATTCAAACACAGTCCACAAGTAGTCTGGGGACGATGCTTCGATTAGCTTTGGGTATATGGTGTTGTATTGTTGGGTTACTTTTTCGCTTTGCTTCGAAAATCCGCCTGGAGGAGGACATGCCCGACCTAATGGTACAGGGGCCCCCGGCCCAAGGTCCCCCGAGCTTTTCAGTTCCTCCTGGAGCCACTGGGGCCTCGTGAGCGGGTGCTCTGGAGGCCGTGGGGGCCTCCATGGAGAGCCTGGGGCCACCTTCAGTTGAGCGGAAGATCGGGACAAATCGGAACCAGAGATTCTGGGAGAGTTCCAGAGAAAAATAGAACGCCGATTTGTGGAGCGTAGCGCGCGCATTCGCAGAAGTTCCCAAAGAGTGTTCGAGGGCTTGAGGAGCCCAAGGAACACATGGGCGCTCAATTAAACTGTTGGGGGCGGGCAGAAAATCTGGTGTGCACGAGCATTGTGGGCGGGTGCGCGGCTTGCACGGGGGGCGCAGTAGGTTTGCGTTTCAGGGACTTGGGCGCTTGCCAATGCGCTGATGGGGGGCCCGAGAATGCGTCGTACATATTACGCCTGTGGCGCCATGGAGGCCGCATTTGCGGTTGCAGTTGGGCGGGCGCCCCGCCGCGCGCACCGTGGCGACAGCTCTCTTGGGCGCCCGCCCGCCGCCGTGGACGTAGTGGACCCAGCTAGTCTCTCGGTCGGCGCGCGGCGGGTCGGCAACCACGACGCTGGCGGCCTGAAAATGCTTCGAAAGTGTTTCTCCCCGAGCCCGGGTCTATTGTACGTTTCCGGTGGCACGCGCAGTTCGGAGAAAAATTGCCTTGTCCGTCGGCGGCCAGTTGGCTGTCGTCGCGCAGAACTACCGGCGGATGGCGCGGTCCACGCTCAGCGCAGAGAGCGTGTCCATGAGCGTGGACTCGTCGAGGGGCAGGAGGAAGGACCTCGCGGTCGGGACCATCGCGGCCCGCGAAGTCCACGGCCCCCACCCTGGGCGCGCGAGGACCTGCTGGGCGCCGCCGCAGCGCGATTTCAGAGGATCTCGGAACCAGAAATCCGGGCGCGCCAAATTTCGCGGGCCGA